GCAAATTGAACCAAATCGTTTAGGCACTAAAAAATTAAAATGCATTCATGCATACTTCTGCGAGTAGCTAAATCTACCCTAGTCCAATAGACCTAAATTAATAACTCAGTAAAATAAGTCAGGAATGTCTTGTCTGGAAAGCAACCAGAAGACGATTGGAAAAAAGCATAACATTATAGTATGCACAGCTATACCACTTAACCTGCAGGGCAATTTGCTTCGGCAATCTGATTATTGAAAATGGCGAGGTATATTGAGAACGCTCTGACTTGCATCGGGAAAAAATGCCCCATCATATTTACCGAGGCAAAATAGTTCAAACACAGCGAGTTTCAAGTAACTCGACACCAGATGTATAAGCGCCGAAAATCGAAATAGCATGTAGAGTTTAGAGGGAAAACATACCTCGACGTTTTTAGTAAGCTTGCAAACATCTGAATAGCCTTGAGTGTGGAAACAGTATTGCTAACAACAAATCGCTAGAAATTTTGTATTCGTGTAACCCTGGGTATGAATCCTATTCCGATTTACCGCCTGAAAGCTACTACTGTCCGATAGCAGGCTAACTACCGCCTGTTAGCAGGTTAACTACTGTTCATACCTGGTAACGGGCTAGCCATGGCCGTAGACAGGGGGTATTTTGGGGAAGGGGGGGTTGGTGGTTACCCCCAACGTTTTAGAATTAACATATTCGGAAAATCAGGTTGGCCATTCGGAAAATTACGGCAATAATAGTATAACAAAATTTTAGTTGTTAAAATGTGCCCCGCATGGGACTTGGAGTCCCGTTCGCACTTTTCCCAATTGGATTCTTTTGTTGTTGTTTTTTTTTTAAGTTAGTGTATCTTTGCCCAATTATTTGTTAGTATAATTATTGTAAATATAGTTGTTAATGACCCAATAAAGTTCTTTAAAAAAACTAAAAAAAAACCCACAAAAAGCGGAGAAAATATAATATAATGTAATTGTATTGTTAGTATAAACTGTTTACTAAATCATGGCATTTACATGGATAACATTTTAACAAATCGTAAATCGGTAAGTGTTTTTCGGTTTGTAACTTCTCAGGACTGTAGCAACCAGGGGGGGGGCTGCAGCCCTCCCAATAACTTGCTAATAATCATTCTTTTTTTCAAAATCATGCAGACCTTTATCATTTAAATAATATACCTTTAAAATACTGACAATTGATTAATTTTAAGCGGCTACATTATCCATGACAAACTGCAAAGAATTATATTTACCAATACTTTCCTGCAGCTCTCCAATATATAGTTAATTAAATACGCCTTCGCCCATTTAGTATACTACTAAATTGTACGTAAGCAAATTGTAAAATTTCGACATACTAAAATACTGTTTTCTGACCATCAGAATTCTGTCAAAAAGTCTCCCCAAAGTCCAGGAAATGGCATTTCAGAGACTCTAAATTTAAAATTTTTCTCGCCCTCGGGCCTTCGGCCCTCGTCTTCAGCTTTTTAATTTCTACGGCACTGCATGCTGCTGTAATATATCTATGCGTAAAATATGCGTATTTTTGTTTGTAAATATATTGCGTCTTCATTTTCCGGGTAGCAAACACCCTCGTGTCGTACACCATGAAATATTCGGAAATTTTTTTTGTCATTCTGAGGCTATAGCTAAAAATTAAACCCTCTATCTCAAGGCAGACCTGACTTTAACCGCTGTGCTGCTCCCATCTGTGGGAAAACGTATAGGCGTCTGTGGGAAAACGTATAGGTATAGAATATACATTTGCCCGCAAATGTTTATGGTAAATGAGCCATAAATATCCATAATAATCGATAAATTTTCACGATGACCATTGAAGTACACCGTAAACCAATAGTATCCACGATTACCATTAGGTATCCCATCCGACACCACAAATGACGTTTTGATCAATTTTACAATTTTGGTCAAACTTTTTACCATTAGTATGGCATATGAAATAAAACTTTCAAAGAAATTTAAGCAGAAACACCGAAATCTGCATCAAAATGACAAAGGAAAAGCGCTGGATGAAGCCTTAGAGACAAATAACTGGCCATTAATCAAAGTTTGGTAATATTTCAACTCAATTTTTCCAGGCTTACAGGGCGAGATATTCCAATCTCATGCCATGTACGAAAAGCACAAACGCAATGTTGGGCAAGCCTTACACTGGCGCTAGTAGATATGAAATTCGATCGGAACTGAACAACTGGACTGTAAGTCGGAAAAAGTCGGAGCGAAGTATCACCAAGCGTCGACGAATGGTTAGCTATTGGCATTGATCTTGCATGATTTAAACCAAATGCAAACAAAATTTCATTTCAAATGTCTTTGAAATATATAAACTCCCAGATAAAAGCCTTCTGAATGGCAAAAGTTTTCGATTAATTCTCACCATCACCGAGTGACCAAGAAATGTGTAAAATATGAAAACGTTTCAAAATTATAGAAAAGGTGCCACGTTTAAATTAGTTTTGTGCATCTGGGCTTCCACAGGGCGGTCCCATGCACGTGCGTTCGAATCCCGGCAACACTACCGGCGTACGTGGTTACTTTCGAACACGTCCAGCGAGAAGTGAAATCTAAGAAATAAAAAGTATTTTTAGTACGTAGCATTCAGCCGAAAATTAGGATAGGATAAAACTTTATTTGACTACGCTAGCCACTTCAACCGAGGCTGCTTTCCAAGTGGGGCGTACTAGATAATCAATTAAAATATTACAAATAGGTAAAGTACAAAGTCGCTAACAATATTTTAGGCCGTGGGTCGTTGTGCGCCGAAAAAGTGCCTAGAAAGGCTGTTTCGTGGCAGCCCACTGAGGAATATATTTCTGTGGTTCAATCCATATATAGTACCATAGATGCCCAATTAAAAAAGGTAAAAAAAAAGTTCCCAAGCAAAAAGCGTGCCCAATACCAAGAAAATTGTTAATTATCCTCTATTAAATTGTATTACAGCAAGAAAATGTGAAATTTTGTATTCAATTACAACAAAAATGACTTACATAATCAGAAAGCTAACAAAAATATATAAGACATCTAAACATTTTTTTAATATCTCAAATTGTCAAACGCGTTGACCTAGTACCCAGCCCTTATTGCGTCATTTTGGTCAAATTGTCACAATTAAAACAGCAACAACTCAAAGACTATTTGAAGAATAAAAAACTGTTTAAAAGTCTGATATTCGGTTTTTGGACGTTTTCCGATAATGCAAGTTATTTTATTGTAATTGAATATAAAATTTCCTATAATTTTGCGATACAATTTAATTTAGAGGATAATCATTGATCACCCATTTTTCCGTATTGGGCAAGTTTTTTGCTTGGGAACTTTTTTGGTAGTAATGTACCTATATTTACCTATATGTCTTTCAAATAAACCACAAACCAAATACTTCCCACATGTGTGCCACAAAGCGATATAATTTTGGCCAACGGCCCATGGCCTATATGCTGCAATTGTCGAATAGCTTACTCGTCAGGCTAACGAAGGAAATACTCCCACTGAAGGAATTTGAAGACTCGCTGTCTCTCACCATCACAGTGAGACAACAATAAATTATTTCTACTATACGTAGTATAGTCGGACAGATAGATAGAAAGAGAAAACTTACCATATTGAGGGACAATTCCATTTTGCCTTCATATTGTGCTCTGAAGGCTAGTAAGTACGTTTCTGTATGTTAACCTGAGTATCGGGCTAGCTCTATTTTACAAATAGAGCCTGACACAAAACTTAACCTGATCGCTTTCCACCCACAGCAAAGTTTATATTTAGTATCCAATCAAAATGTCGCAGGAGAAATTTAAATTTGACACAACGACAACAACAATCTAATTATAGCACAGGCAGCCCACTAAACGGCTGAATTTAAATTAAAACTGCAATGAACTTATAAAATTAACAAAAATAATCACAAATTAGCGAATGTAGCTTATATTAAATCGCCACCCGATTGCTCTCTCCTCCGCAGAGGTTTCAGTGACTACAATGAGCTTTACATGGCGCTTACCGTATTTATCAACAAACTGACATATAATTATAAAGTATATATATATTAAGTATACTTTATAACTATACGTCAGTTGGTCGATAGTGCAATCTCAGAGGAGGTCTCGTCAGTATACCACAATGCATTGCGGTTTTGGACCATTGTATACATATTATCAATTCTCCGGCGCAGCTCGCTCAGTGTTCGTTGGCTGTCGTTGTAAACACATCTCAGAAAATCTATCGTTTTAGAAAATGGCGCATATTTTTCGCTCCTGGTATTGGATTAAAGCTTCTCTTTTGGAAGCAGTGAGCACCTCATCTGACTTATGTTTGTTGGGTCCTCACAGCCTTTGTATCTAGCCCCTGATGGAGTAATGTGTGTTGAGCAGTGCCGTATTATTAACGTTAGTTTCAGCTGAGAAGCCATGCAATTTTTCAATCAACTGTGAATGGGGTTAAAGTTGCCGAGATGTTTACCGAATGATGCATTCTAGTTGTGTTTTTGAGGTGAGCTTTTCACATTAAGAGGTTATATTGAAGTTGAGATACTCGAGCGAACTTTGTAGAAACATCAAACATGCACAGCCTCAATAAATATAAGATTTATATCAAATTTGCTATGCTTTAATAGGGTATTATAAAATTGCCATATATAATAAATGTAACTAACACCAGTTATATCGACTTCAGGAATAATTCACTACAGAAACTTCAAATCATGATAAAGATTTAAAATCATATAAACAAGTCTTGGAAGCCACTTTAAATTTTTAGGGCACATATGTAGGACTGTGAAGATTGTACAATCTTTTATACAGTATCTCCTGAAGTTATTCTGGCTATATATAAAACTGATTTGTTCTTGTATATCTTGTTTTAGTTCTTCGACTTGGATAACCCTGGCAAAGAGAATATTCAATACATGTAATATTTTGTGGGAATTTGATATTTTACCATCACCATCAAGTGATGGTCAAGAGTTGGATGCTGTACACCTGTACTTCACCACTAAATCAGTAAAAAGACAAGCACCATGTAATTGCTACCATCAACATATGAATCCTGTCTGCTTAGTAGATCTACCACCTCATTGAGAGTCAACAGATAAGATGATGAAGAGGTACATGTGATATTGATGAGACAGAGATTTTATACCCAGGTTTGAGGTGTATGTCTGTATGCCACCAGACAAATTAAACTAACAGACAACCATAAATGGTAAAATATATAACTCTGTGCAGCCACATACAGTTCTGGTACACGACGGTCACTGGTTATAAACAGAATAAAGCCACAAGTCAATTGATTTTGAAATTATTTTGTTTTTAGAAGCAGCACTAATTAAACAGCATATTTTATGAAATGTTGCACTATTTCCATTTAACCAAAATACATGGAAAGTATAAGGCTAGAAGAATAGGAAACAGTGCTTTTTTAAACCTACTGTATAAAATATTATCTAGAGTCATGAAATATTAAAATTATTTATACCTATTCATATATTTACATGTTAACTTCTTAACTTATTTATTTTTTAAAATTATGATTTTACATTGTGGGTGCAGTGGTGCACCAGAACTCAGTTCCGGCCGGTTAGTTCCTGCCGGAACTCCGATTTTTCAGAGTTCCAGCCGGAACTAATAGAAAAAGCATGACCGGAACTGGAACTCTGTTGTTTTCAGAGAGATAGAATATCATACGTTTTTGTGTCAAACAAAAGTTCACACCAGGAAGAAATTTGGACTACAAAAGGAAAATGTACATGACGTTTAAAGTTTGTCAATCTTTTTATTCTCACATTTGCAAGTCCACCTTGATGACTTGAAGTGTCTGCCAGAACTTTTTTGCAGTTCCGGCAGGAACTTTAAAAATTGGTTCTGGTGCACCCCTATTTTACATATTACCACAGCATGGCTTAATGTCAATAATATATACTATGGTGTAATGTGAAATAATGTAAAACTGATGAAATATGAATAAAGTTTAAAATATGCCTTATCATTGCTTTACTGGACAGTCTGTATTATGAATGAGATGCAATGAGTATTCTCCAATTAAATGGCTTGCCAATTTTAATACACTTTCCAATGTGGGCAATGATTGAGCAATGTCTGCAGGTTGTGGTGTTTCAGTTCACATTGTGATGCTGTTTGGTTGTATGTCTCAGATTCAACATTTACAGGCTTGTGTGTTTTGGTAAAATGATCTTTTCTGTTGTCAATTACAAGCTCAGCCAAACTGTCACTTATAGACAAGCCAAAATATGATGAGATTCAGCCTCCTCCAAGGAAAAAATCTTTCTGTGGGAATTGTATACCCTTGACCTTTAAGTCGACTATCTGAAAGACAGAAAGATAAAATGAAACAAGTTAATTGTACTGTTCTGAAATATATATCGAGTGTTGATGGAACACTGGCCATTTTATTATAGAGAGATATGAAGTGATTATGACTATGGGGTCACTCATAGCGTAATTTTGACAAGAATACAGCCTAATGCTAGTGAATGGAGTTCATAAATTGTCAATGACATATCCATGCAGCATCATTATTCCTGAAATTCAACAAAAGTACACACTGGGAGGGGGGCTCTTAACCTTTCAAACTGAAAGCATAGTGACCACACCCCCTCACCTGCCCAATAATTTCTAACAGCATCATGGGCAGATTTACTGGGGGTGGCCCTAAAATCTCTCTAACCCCTCTTATAAAGTGTTCAACCCCAAAATTTTGCTTCACCCCTCCTATTTTGTGTGAAGGTCTTTAACCCTAATGCCCAACCCTTGCCAAAGCTCGCTCAGTGGTGCCACTTTAATTAATACACCTCACTAGAAATTTTTCCACTCCTTTAAAAAATATGAAAATCTGCCCTTGAACAGCATCTTGATGTTACTCGCATACCTGACTCCAGTGGCGGGAAATAGGGGGCGTGATCGCTCCCCCCCCCAATAATTTTAGCTAGCTTTCATTTTGAAACATGTAACATGCGGGCCAGATGCTATACCTGGCCAAATAAGGAGCTCCCGTAGCTGGATGACATAAAAAATCACAGGTCTAGGACTCTAGGTGCACTTGCTTGGGTATTACTACTCGAAACATATACATGCTTAGCAGTATTCTCATTGGCAACATCACGAGATTACAATTTATAGCAAATCATAGAGGTATCCTATTTATATTAATACAAACAAACAACATTGCTTTCTCCAGTATAAACTGTAAATATCAGTCTTAAACAAGCTATTGTCTCTTTAATACTTCATCAATATAATAGAAAATGGATAAGAACATTTGATGAAAGGGTACGAACTCATGTTCCTATATATCAAAACTGAAAAATAACATGATTGCAGGCCATTGTATGATGAATTGAATATCATTGTGTTTTCGCGCCATTTCGCGCGGTAACCGGAATGTCGCGTGTTTACGCATAGTTTGAATCTGGTTTGAATAAATCAAGCACCAAATACCCCATTTTGAAAAGCCATTAACTTCTCGGTTTGAGGGGTCGTTTTTGATTTCTCGGTATCATTTGAAAGAATAACTTCTCTTCTATGTACTGGTACGATTTTTTTCGACTTTTTCTATTTTAAACTATAAACGACCCCATCATATATTGAAGCCAATTTCCGGCCGTGTGCAGTGACCCGGAAAATAGGTCAAAACATATGCAAATTATTCGCTCCAAAAGTATCAAATAACCCAAATAAAATATTTATATAGTAAATTTCAATACCCAAGAACATATTTTTAATAAATACCTTTGAAACTTTCGTGATTTTCAGCGAGAAAAAATTCGATGAAAACTCCCAATTATTTCGTCGATCGCACGCAAGATTCACAATTGAGAAAAAAATCCACCGCAATGCATCACGGTATAGTGACGATTCCTCCTCTGGTGCAATCTGATGGCGTTTTAATATAAGCTACATTTGCAATATATTTCGCTAATTGCGATTATTTTCTAATTTCACTGTAGTTTTAATTTAAATCAGCCGTTTAGTGGGACTTATAAAATATATCAACAACTGACAATAGTATAATCTAATTAGCACCAGCCAATCAAATGACAGATTTAAAAAGTCGTTTGTCTAATCGGCCAATCAGACGAAAAAGTGAGAATCTGGCTTTTTACATGTTTTTACTAAACGGTTACCAGGGTTTTCAAGTTCTTCTTGAGTTACAGTATGAGTGTTGAAAGCGTGTTTTCAGACTAGTACCCAGAATTTTTGCGAGATTTTGGCTTATTTTTCACATTTGAAACAACAATAACTCGGAAACCGCTTGAAAATCCCAACCGTAACCATTTAAATGTTTTATATGTAGTTTTTTTGCATGCTTTCAAATGATGTAGGTCGTTTGTATTAGAAATGTATCAGAAAAAAGTGTCGGCAGCAGCCCACAAGAAATTTTAACGCCGCCAACATACAGAAACGTACTTACTGGCAGGGCACAATATGAAGGCTAAATTGAATTATCCCTCGACATGGTAAGTTTTCCATACTATTTTGATCCTCTACCTGTCTGACTAGTAGACCTGTCTTTGATTGCAAATATTAAATAGAATTGTGAGATGCATGTAGCTTACACAACATCTGAGGCCAATACTTGATACATCTGTGTGTTAATCAAGTCTTCAAAATAATACAAAAACGTATTCATTAGCGTATGAGACAGGTGGGGGGTTCAGAGTCGGGTGTGTGGGGGAAGCTGCTCCAAGAATATGATTGAAGTTGGGCAAATTAGAAAATTGTATGTTGACTAAAAAGCTGGGGGAAATAAAGATAATAGTCGAAAATGCAAGAAGTTTGTAATGATGCCAAAATATTTAGGCCATCCCAAAAATTGGAACACCCCCCCCCTCCCATCCTAATTTGAAAAAAAAATTTGAACACTCCCTCCTCCCCATTTGAACCCCCCCCCCGGATCGCACCTCTTCGAGTTGTTTCTCTACTGGTTGCCCACAACTGATCGGTCTTGTGGCAGTCTAAAAAAGATGGATTATATTTATGAATTGTTAGGGATAAAACATTTCAACATTAAAGGGACCAGTCATTATTTTACGCGGGGGTGGCATGGAAGAGAAACTTTTTTCTTGGTAAAATTTTGCTTAGATATTGTATTGAGATATGACTGCTGACATGTCAATCAATATTTCAGCGAGTCATGCTTTGCAAATGACTATAAATTTTTATGACAGAACCCTAGAGTTGTTTTGATTTTCATTTTTACCCAACCTTTTACTCACTAAAAAAATTTGTTTACCCAACCCTTTTATGGAAGATTTCTAACGGCTCTGCTCCCTGGAGGTGCATCTATTCTTAGCTCCAAAATCGTGTTACTTAAATTAAGGTCTGTTCATATGGAGTAGGACTGGATTATTCGTTTAATAAAGTTCTTATCACTGCGGCTTTGATAAACATCCAAAATCTCATGTGGCGAACTACGAACTACATTTTTTCAGTAGCGAGTAATTCATTAGTTTTCAACAAACTGCAATCGATCGGAAGCGAAAAGGGAATATAGTATTAATGAAACAAATCTGCCGCCAAAAACCTCAGAGTTTCATAAGGCTTTCTCACATCACAAGTTCCCGGTCTCCTAATCTTGTTGTAATTAACATTGTATAACAGTGCATTGGTTAGCCAGCGATTAGCTAGCCGAGTTCTTCGAAATAAACCAAGTCATAAAAAAGGCGGAAAATTTCTGCCATGAGTGAATATATTCATACGTCATCGTTGTATCATTTGATCTGTGGTATAATACGTTTTTCTCACGCCGAGTGTGAGAATATTGTTTCACTCTTTCTGATTGGCTTATTTGCTTGCGAACCAAGTTTTCCCAATACTAAATTAAAATTAAAGGTAAATTTGTCGACTGCAGGGAAGACCAGGGAAAGTTAGGGAAGGTCGTAGCAACGTTTATGACTAACGTCATGTAGAATATGACATTGCCACAATTACCACATTTGTGATTTTAATATATATAATTATAAGTAATTAACAACATTTTTAGAATTACAATGTTAGAAATAAACTATTATTCAATAATCTTTATTGTTCAGGATGTGATAAGAAAAATTATCAAACCCGGAATTCGTGTTATTAATCGATGTCAAAGGCTGATCGCGGTTGATAACACAAACTGAGTTCTCAAAAAATTTCTTACCTCGGAAAAAACCGAATTCAATAATTGTTGTATTATTTATTTAACTTAAAAGACAGAAAAGGCATCGGCATGTATGGGTTCACATTCGTCGACATAATGACCATGCAGTTATTTTTTCCCATTTGCAAAAAATCTTTCCTTTTTTCTTTAATAATTAGCCATTCCGAAGTTGATGGGTGTTAAAAAACGCTCAAATTAAGAAATGAACCAAATCACTAAAAAGACAACCTCAAAATCAGGTAAGTATAAAAAGTTTGAAGACGTTTACATGAATACCCTTCGAATAATAAACTTTCGAAAATCGCGATGTTTACTATGAAATGTACTGTAATTTTTGTTTTGAGGGACGCGCGTCCCAAAAACAGTCTTTTAATCAGTAAATTCACAATTTTCGATTCAAACTCCTCTACTTCAAGTTCATAATCTGATATTTCTTCAACTTCAGAAGCTAATGATGAAGATTCTTCAATGTACTGAGATTCGGATGTCGACATTTTTACAAAGATATTTAAAAATTTTGAAGATTTTTGAAGCCTTTCTGTTTCGTATATAAATACAATAAAAAACAATAGGTGTTTATTGTAATTCGACACGAGTCAATTTACTTCCGTCCCCGGTATGACATCACAACTCTTATTCGTACTCAGACTCTTTTCTCCCGGCCCTGTATTGAAAAACCCTGATTTTGGCATGTTTGATCCAAAATATCTCTGGAATTATTTATCCTATCAGGGAATAGCTATGATGGTCGTACACAGTTTTAATACAATTTTTCCCAGCTAATTCCAGTTTCTTCTAAAGGCCTGATTCCATGACGGCAAAATTCTTCGCGTGAAGCGAAATTGTTTC